TCAATCTTGCTGAGGATTCTTGTTCTTATGTCTGTGTCTTCAGGAGACGTCAACCCGCACACAAATATAAGACACTTGAACTCATCCTCTGTCATACTTCGGAGGTTGAAACATTCACACTCCTTGTTGACTTTGCCGGCGTATGTAACCCAGTCTTCAGAAGCAGTCTTGCTCAAATTCATACAGTGAAAACCAGGGTTGAACAAAGAGGCCTGTTCTCTGAAGTTTGACGATAAAACAGCAACGGTTTCATCGAAATTCAGGTCACTTGGTTTTCGTGGCAAAATATAGTTCGTAAAGCGTTCATGTTCGGCCACTCCAATTTTCCTGACCAACTCTCTTGCTCTCCAAGAATCTCCTCTGCTTCCCAGATCCAATCTGAAAAAGTCTTCATGCTTGTTGAACCAATAATCAAAAGTAATGCATGAGGTCGGATCGAACTGGAATTCAGGGATCGCGTTGAGCGTCGTGTCGATCACCGAAGTGGACGGCTCAATAGTCTGCCTAATCGGCCTCTGTAGTGACAATTTTTCAGTGAGTGTTTCGATTAGCTTCAAATGCGCCAGCTCAAACTGTTGCTGCTGCTGTCTGAGGAGAGACTGCATCTGTTCGAATGAAACTGCCATTGTGAACACCCGTCTGCCCGTGTTGTATTGTAGTGATGGCCGAGCTATTTGTTACGCCTGCACGCGCCTGCCATTGTGAACACCCGTCTGCCCGTGTTGTATTGTAGTGATGGCCGAGCTATTTGTTACGCCTGCACTGCGCCTGCCGACTACGCGAATAGGGAGAAGACAAAGAACTGGGGACCCGGCTGTATTGCCAGGACAAAAACGTACAGAGCCTCTGCGTAAATATATAGGATGACTAAACGGCCAAATATGGCCGTTCACTTGTTCGCTCCATACAGCCAATGGTGGTGTTCCGGTCGTGAACAGTCTCAGGCCCACTACGCTGGTCGTGTGTTGCTAGGCCGTGTTTGGTGCGATCCGCCGGCTCACCTACTTTCCGGACGTGTCGAACCGATGATGACCTTGGGGATGCGTCACTCTCTGCACATGTGCTTTTTCTTCTGTCTGGGCGCGCCCTAACAGTTTTGCGGGTCTAGATTTTCAAGATGACTATCACTAGACAATTTGTCGTAAGTACGACTGATAAAGTAGGCCGCAAAATTATCGAACTCCTTTTGACTCTGTTTGTACTTACTGTTGATGCGAAGAGAGCACCAGTTTTTGAAAACCTCACAGTTAGAACACTGGTCGAATGCATCGCACTTGACTAGGCTTCATCGTTCTGTTTTTGGGTTCAAATTGTCCCAAGTACCCACTTTCCAAAGAGCTTTAGCTTCCAGACCATTCGGAGAAGGCCGTACTTTTACCTGCTGTGACCATCACTTCTATCATATGTACGCTCAGCAGTGTGCAGTATACGGGTTACCTTGAAATCTCTACAAAGTTCATTCAGTACGAATGACTACCTTTTTGTCAGGAGAGCACTCGGATGACACCACCTTCCAGTTTGGCCACAAACCGCCAGTCATTCTCTTGAAGTTTCAACGAGAACACTTTTGTTCGGCTTGTTCTGCCGCTCTTCCCAGAGGGAACCACCGTATTACTTCCCTCCAAAATCGGTAATAGGCTGTCTGCTTATTTTAGAGAGGCATCAAATGCCACGTGAAACGATCACCAAACCCAATGTAGATTCAAGTACTCTCAGGTCCACACGATTGCTTTATGATACATACCAGACACCTCCAGTATTCTGCGCAGTTCTGTAAATGATTTATTTTTACTGGTCCACGTAAAATGTTATTTCAACTATCCAGCGTTCATGTCATATTGTCCTTTTGTTTATCCCTTGATTTGGTGAGCACAATCGGATGGTAAATCTTTGGATTCCAAGGATTCTCATGTTTATACCCCTCTGCCTAACAGACGGTTCGGTGATGTTTTGATTCGTGATGCAAAGCTTCCTCAGCTGTTTCGTGTTGCTGTTGAATTCAATCGACCGGCACTTTTCTACTCGCACAAGAGTCAGCCGGGAATATTCCTTGGCGATTCTTTCCGTGAAATAATCCCTTTGGAAAGAAATCTTCGCACGAGTGAACACTTTCCTTTAGTTTCAGTTTTTTAACCAGTGAGTACTGTCTACAAAAAGCACTAACTACGAGATGCCTATCGTGAATTGATTGGGTCAGCCAACCGTCCAAACGTGATCAAAATCGTCTAGATGAATCGGGACGGCTAGTGCAACCGACCATTTCAACTCCAGACTCTGTGATGGGCTTCATCTGCTGGCGAAAATTAAATAAAGGTTTCTTGAAACTCGGCTGAACCACATTTTCTCGAAAACAACTCGATAGAATTATAATTAACCTTTCATTTCACACTAGTCGGTTGGCGGTACCTGCAGGTCTAATTATATTATTTCTAGTGGACTCTGTTCATTTCACACAAACCGCATCGGTCGAGTGACTGTCACTAAACCCTCGTCAGTAGACAAAGGTGGAAGATGCTTTTGGTGTAGTGTGCGTATCGTGGCAACTACTATGATGAAGTTACTGGAGGGCACGAGTTTTACGCCCAGTGGGAGTTCACGACTTTACCTTGAAGATGACGGCTATAGGGTTGAAAGTATCAGGGAAGACTCAGTGGATCAATATTGCAATACCAATGTCACTCAGAAATCATCCAGCTGTAGCACCCTTTCGGTGCCTAGCTGCCATGTCACGCGCGGATGCACAAGGGCTGGGATACTTCCAGGTTGCCCAAGCCTAGGCAGGGGAAGTTGAGTGGCAGAGGTCGGGTTCGAACCTCGGACCTTCCGGTCAGTAAATTCGCGCTCCAACCACTTGGTCCATCTCGCCATCTCACTCAGTACGTGAGGATATTTGCATTAGATTCCTTTTGGCGAATCTAGTCCATGTTAAACGTTTGGAGCACAACCAACAAGTGCAATAATTGATCGAATAATAAAGGACTCAATCCTGACTGTATTGCTCCGTATTTCAGAGTTGTTCGTAATTGTCCACTTTATGGGGAATTTCCCTAACGAACGACAGTTTTGTTCGGTCCTGTGTGTGTCCTACCTGAATGGAAATCCATTCTAACTTTTACATTCTTGGAACTACTTCGAAAAGTCGATTTCAGTCAAGTGAGACGGGTGGCTTTTTCAAGGGAGCTCACCTGATTGACCATTCCATGGCACTGTTGTTGGATCCTATTTTTCTTACATTTATTTCATTAGGAAAAATAGCAACACTAAGATACCAGAAAGCGCGGATTGCTTAAACAAAGCTTCGACAAGAACCAGTCTTTAACTGTTGATCATTTAGAGATAAAAGTGAAATAAACAAGTGACCCCCATACGTGCATCACAAATACGAGCAGTACATCTCTAGACAATGTCGTCTGCAAGCTATATTATCTCTGTTGTATCCGGAAAGTGCTTTGAGTTTCTCCGCAATGAGGGATCAATGTACCTGTTTAATTTGACAAGACTGGAAGGAAATCCGCACTTCAACTTTCCAATTTTTGGAATCGCGAAATACGCTGAAAAAAGTTTGAGCAGTGTGACCTTTGTCTCTACGCGGCTTACACGTTTCTCTCAATCTGTGAACTCTTTGAACAGCAACGGTCCCAAAATATCCCCGAAAACGACTTCGTTGAAGCTTGAATCAAATGTTAGAGGGTGAAGTTTGTTTTCGCTTGCGGTATATATCAGGTTATTTATAGATCCTGCGTTGTGTTCTTTCTTTTCAGTACCCTGGACTTTCTTGCGGACTGCTTGTAACTGAGAGTAAGCAAAAGGGGAGATACGTGGTTGCCACAGAGGAGTTTCAGCCGGGAGACGTGTTGGCCGTTGAACCGGCTTCAGGATGGCCTGCAAGCGGACCACGGACGACAGTTAGTGCTTCCGGTGACTGCCTTCTATTGCTGCCATCACAACGCATGTCCAAATGCACTGCGTGCCTGAATCCTTTATCAGCAATCGGTTATTTGTGTCCCAATTGTTGTGATACTGCCTACTGTGCTCCTCCGTCAAAGTGCTTTTTCAGACACCTTACCAAGTCGGACGAGGTGGTTTCCTTCAGTCAACCTCCGTGGCATACTGCCGAATGTCGGTGAGGGGAAATGGATTTTATTTTTTCCACTCCTCTGTTCGTTGAGGCCTCCGCCTGGAAAGTTTGTGCTGATGTTACTGAATTTTGCAGCTATTTCAGCGGCGCTGTTTAGTGGTGTTTGCTTGAAGTTTGGTGGTAACGTATGGAAGGATGTTCATTAGAAACCGGCGCTTTTACGTTCATAAGTGGCGAAAGGTACGGTGGCTGAATTGGTCTCGACATGTGATACACAACACGCCTAATCCACAATTGGTTTTTGTTTCTCCTATTCGATCGCACAAGGCCTGAAACTCTGGAGAATTCTTTCACACGTTCTGAGGATCACCAACTACACATATCCTATAAATCCGAGGAGGATTTCGAAAGGTAGCATTTGTTAGCGATGTAACACAAGTATTCAGCTAACTCCGGTCGATACGTAGTGAAGTTAGCCTGCACATGGATAGATGCGGTATCACTTGTCATTCAGCCGTGAAGTTTGTACCACACGAACTGCTGTTGATTAGCTTCTCAGAGGGACGATCATGGGAATATTTGAATTAGTCGTTTGTTTTTGTGAGTAGTGAGTGAAATTCAACTTTTTTTACTTTTATTCCTTTGAAGTGAAGTTAGCCTGTAGTATAACATGAAGAAGAAACGTACATCTGTTTCATCCTCATTGGGATTCACCACTAGCATGCTTAATGGGAGATTCGAACCTAAAGTTTGCAGTTTAAAGGGTTGGATGATCCTATGTCGTGATTCTTCCGGACGATTAACAGCTTGCATAAAATACACTTTCGCACTTCCAGTATATATACGAACGGTGACCGAGTAGGATTCAGGCGCACTAGGGTTTTAGTTTGTCCTCGTGTTTGGAGGTTTATAAATTCCACGGTGAATAAGCACATTCAACACAGTCAACTCCTGTGGACGAATAGACCATATCATCAAACGTATCATGGGATCAGCCAGATGTTTTCCGTTGTAATCTATGAGACAGAGTTATTTGCTCCCACATGCTGAAACGGATCTCACAAGAGTACATTTGAAATATCCAACGGTAGCTACAACTTATCGAAGGAGTTCACGAAAGTTCACACTGTGCGACTCACTTCGCCATTCTGTGCGGAGCATGAAGTTACCCTAAAATTGTTGCAAGCGTTCCGCAGTCATTCGCTACTGTCATGTCTCCATTTGATCATTTACCTGTATAGCTTTGAAAATAAGCCGAATAGAAGCAGAGCTGCTACTATCACGTGAATGAGTTACTAGTGAAACATCATTCGTGTCGCAGTCTGAATCTCAGCTGAAAAGACGAGAATACTAACACCTGTGTTTTGAATGGTTTTAAATTCAACAATATGACATGTAAAGTTTAATTAGATGATAGTAACACGTTGTTTAGATCATAATATCGGGTGCTCACCAACATGAGTCTAGCGTGCTTTTATCAGTCGTTCTCATTGTGATACTCAAGGATATTCTTCCATATGTCCCCAAAGACCATATCGATGAATTGCAAGGCGAAATGCGGTCACTAGCGTCGTCGACAATGACTGGTGTATTGTTTGATCTTCCTAGTATGGAGAATAATTGAGGTTGGATATAAGTAAACTCTTATTGGCCCTGAGACTGAGCTTAGTTGAAAGACCTTGGAACATTTTTATCGCTGGCTTTTCCAGGCTCCTACCATCTTTATATGGTTAACTATCCGGATGTTTTACATATGGATTCCTTTTTTTCCACATAGTGATATTTATTCCATTGTTGTTCCTACCTGATGGATTGCTGCGAAAAACTAATCACTACTTTCTGAGATTGAACGTTGCAACATTGAGTTCATCGCAGTCTAGTGGATAACTTACGGCCCAGCTCAACAGCAGAGTCATTTAGAGATTCTGTGTATTCAGCTCACTATAGTCACTGCTCGGATGTTTAAGAACTACGTCTACTTGCTGATGGCTATATTCCATCAAAGCAGCATTAGCTTCCTAATTTGTTATGAAGCCACCTCGAACGAGAAAGTTCGGCCAGGTGACACGATGAAGAAATGCACAATAGCTTAAATTAGAACGACCGGTTGAAGAATGCGTTAGCCATATCTGTGAGCCGGAACAACTCAATCTGAAACTGCGCATTGTTTAGCATTACGACAAATTGATTAGTCTTTACTGAACTGGTTACGTGTTCTAAACAGCCATGTAGAGGTTGAATTTCCCACACAAACGTTTATCTCACATCTGTGTGCACATGATAGGTTGACGACTTGTGCCCATTTTTAGCGACCAGCCTAGTTATTTAAGTAAATGCTCGTGAAGATGACCAAGCTTTAGTTCGGATTTACTTCACTCCTCTAACCGGGTTTTCCGTCTTAAAATCTGCCGAAACTAGTGGGAATCACATCAGGTAACCGAAACTTCATCTTCAAGTGCACGCCGCTTTTCTCAACCCTCTTTGTATAGACACAGGGGACTGCAATATAACCCATCTTGGTGGGTGAAACCTACTATATCAGCCACCAAGGATAGCTAAAACCGAGAATGGTCGCTGTTTTAACCGAGAAAACCGTTTTTTTCGGTTGACACTTCTCCGGTGCGGGTCGATCGGAATTGAGGTGGTTATATTCATGTAAAATTTGCACGACTTCAATTTTGTGTCATGTTGCTTTCTGTCCAATAGCTTATCGGTGGTAGGTCATTTTATTTGAACATGACATGGTAAATATTTACCGAATTTATTATTCTCAGATGGTCTAGCCGGACATTTTTAATTTCCTCTGTTTTGTCCTACTTAGATGCGTTTGTGTGGAATCATTTTTTAGTTCACTGGAAACAACAAAGCTCAATCGGTGTTCCAGTTAGGACAAGTCTTTCCAGTATGCCTCTGTTAGAAAGACCAAATTATAGGTTTTCTGAATCTTCCTCAGGCAATGGAGTGGAAACTATTTCTCAGTGCACCATTAAAAATGCCCTAAGGCTGGCACAATCGGCAGGCAGTTCACTGAGTGTTGTAACGATGGCCGTAATACAGACGTTGCTCACTACTGAGCAGTGATCACACTGTAGCCCACGACTGTAGACTCCATTCACCGGAAATCGAATTTTCACTCAAGATACTGTAGCTCTTTTCCACTGACTTTAAGGTAAAATTTCCCGAAAATTTCTCGGTTCGTTCGCTGAACAGGTGAACGTCGTCCGTCACAATTACTTCAGACGGTGAACTCGATGGGGAAGAATTCAAGTTGGACACAATCGACGCCATGGTGAACATTAATGTACTCACATATCATGTTCTAGCCGAACTCTACTTAACTCTATAGAGGGCGAATAATTAAGGGGCCACACAGTCGTTTTGGCCCTCTGTTTACCCGTTTCTCATAGATGGGCTATATTTCGAAATCTATGTTCTTCAAAGCGGGAAAACGCATGCAAATCTATGACTTCATGGTTTCATCTGGGCAGGTATAGCTCGAACAGTCGTATCTATATGGGCTATATATAAGATGATAAGATACAAGACATAATGAAGAAATAATAATACGATAATAAGATATGGGGTGATGGCGGTCAGTGAGCCTCCGAATCAGGATGTTATTTCCATCCGGTTTCTAGGAGTTTAAATGCATTTTGATTGACAACACCATATCACATCGCCCACATTTCGCGGCGCGCAACAGACTGAACCTCTTCGTTTCCACATACACACTGGCACGGAACACCGGACCGATTATTGCGTACACATTTTTGACACTGTTCCCGCTTTCCTTTCAACTCACCAACTGGCCTCATTGCATAGTTAGGAAATGCAAAGCCTGGTTATCTCGTCTGTAGGCTCGTTGATTCGGCGAATTATGAACGTCTCTGACTGACTTGTACATCCATATGTAGCATATTTATGTATTCGCTGTGGTCATATATGCTTGTATTCCCAAACTATTGGTCATCCTCCAGGGAGTCATCCAAAGCTGGTGCGTCTTCATCAGGTTGTCAGTACTGTGAACACACAAGTGCTCCGAAGACTTCCTGTACGGTATTTTATACACAACGAATCCACTGTAAAATGGATAGGTATATAGTTGATTTTACGCTGAAAACAGTAAGTTGAACCTCCAGTGTAGCACATCACATGTGTAGCGACGTTCACTAGTAGATCATCTGTGACTAGTGCTCACTTCTTTAACATAAGTTGCAAAAGTTTACATCCATATGTATCATCGCAACATAGTCTACTGACAAATAATCCAAAGGTATGGTGCGTGACACAAAGTTAGATCGTGTGCCGGTACGTGCGTGCTCTGCAAGATTCTAATCGCGTCACTTTGGTATGAGCCATCCGTCTTCACGACAGGAAGTGGCAAGGGAAGGTCAAAAGTTTGGTCATTTTTGATGTGAGGTCGTACTTCTCGCTGGCCGTCTCGCACCTAAGCTGGAAGGGACGCTGGTTCCATTCTATTACGGATAGTCGTCCAAAAGCAGCTTGTAATACGTGTGGAAAAGGTGGTGCGCGTTTAAAAAGCGACCATTCTAGTTATAGTCTATTGTACAACCGTACGTCCCGACAGATTCGGCTAATCTAAAGATCTAATCGTTTTTTTAATAGCGTGTTAGCAGTCTCCCCCGTTAGCTTATTTTCAGATTTAAGCGGAATCGATTACTGATTATTTCACTTCCTAACTTGGTTTTACGCGTTTCCATCGAGTTTTCAGGGATAGTCACATGAAGCACGTATGTGCGTCTGTCTTCAGGGAGAATGTTTGATTTTTATCCGTGACATCTTTATGTGGAAGCTTGTATTTTTCAACTCAGTTTTTTATGTATCTACAAGTGATAGTCGATTCTTACGTCACGCATGTTCGGTTCACTCGCAGCGAATCAAATTCTACCATAATTTTCTTGCTTTCGACAGTTTTATGTTCTTGCTCAATTCCACTGGACTTGGTCATCTCTGTTTCCGCCTCGCGTGGTTGCGTCGCAAAAACCACCGGCAGATGTCGTCCCGACAGCTTACAATCGACCAATTAGTTAGTCATTTTGACGAATTCGAGGTCGAAGATCTTTTTCAGTACGCTGTAACAGCCTGGCTATTGGCTAAACTCCTAAGTCGATCTTTCTGTGATCAAGATACAATGACAGAGCTGATTGATGGGTTGTGGTGTTTCGATACGTTACGACGTTTGCAATGCAATGCACATGCCATTACAGACGTACAGGAAACGTTCCAACTCGAGATAGAAGATGAGACGTACCATGCTCTTCCCCGTCTAGGTCAAGTTCGAGTTGCGACTGCTTTATTTCCGTGTGTGAGCATGCTGAATCATGCTTGCGAACCAAGCGTATCGAATTCGTTTGAGGTAAGCCGATCAACTTTTCAAGAAACTCTATTTTGCAATAGTTAGTTAGTTAGTTATATTTTTGGGAACCAGCAAACCACTTTGCTGATTAGTGTACACATTTTGACAACTCCTTAGACCCTGTCCTCAATTAGGAATAGATAGGTTCTTTTTTAGTTAATTTTTGTAGGCAGCTGTCTTCGCTTGTAAGGGGATAAGGTTTCTATAAGTTCTTTCCTTCTTATAGGTGTATTGGACGTTTTGCCGATCCTGCGACATATCGTTTGTCAGCATTACGGGAATTTCATGCTGTAACATGCACGAAATGAATGAAGCGGCGTTTTTGTTGAAACTATGCGAAAGTGAACCTGTTTTCAGTCAACTGGAAAATGCTTGGGACCGATTGGGAAGTCATCGTTTCAGCAGTAAATCCACCGACCGTTTACCATACCTCTCTGAAACGATGAGCGTGATTAGACTGTTCAGGGGCCGACGATCTACGGGGTGTGGATAACGTCCCGTAACCTTAATTGTTCTATCTACTAGAAACTCAATGAGAAGCTTGGGATTGTTGGGAACACAGCTATCCGTAAATAGGCGCAAATGAATTGTCGTATGTCATCAGTTGACAAGAAGCGCCAGAAAAGTGAGACGAGGCAGGGATATATAATGGATGTCAAAACAGGTGCTAGTGCGGTGGTAGTGGAGTCAACTGCGTGTACTTTTTGGTTAAGAGGAAGCTGGGATTCTACGTTGAGTCGTCCTCGCTGTCCACAATCCTTACTGGTGTCTTCCGTGCGTGACAAAGAAGCTGTGCAGTCGGCATGGATCGTGAAGTTCACTAAGGGGCAAAAGCACACTACTGGGAGGGATCGTAGTTAACTCTCGTTAGGAAGGAAAGCTGGTGTCACTGTTACTGGTTGCTGGCATATATATCAAAAACAGCTGCAGGCACAAACCCTACCCGTTATTCGATGTAGTGAATAAACAGGGAATCGGAGGTGAGTGAGATCATTTTTGTTGATTATTTGTGTTTCACTGAAGGATAGAACAGATAAGGGGAACGTTAACAATGGCTGATGGACTGAGTCATATTGCTGTTCGAACGACGGAGGTCTCGGCACGAGGCTTGAAATTTACGACCAGAACAGTGAAGTTTCAGCACGTTGTTCACGCTAGTTGTTTCAGGTGTGCAGTGGTAGTCCCCTTGATGATAGTGTAGGTCAGTTACTACCCGTGAATTATACCACACAATATATCTCTCCTCTAATTTGCGCGATTTTCCACTTTGAAGCAATTTGGGGTGACTGGAAATTAGGAACAATATATTTGTTAACCACTCATCATGGCCCATCTTTCAGACTAGTGGGTGCAGTCATTTCTGAAAGCTGAGACAAGCGAATCCATTGTTCAAGTAACCAGATTTCTAAATATTATTATCAGTTGTACAGATATTTATGGACATTTTGGTAACTGGCCATAACAGTTCCTCAAGTTTCTTTATGAGTCATGATTGGTGATACTGCTTAGACATTAGTTTTTGTCAGATTGGGTTGATTGATTTAGGGTATTCATACTCACAAATCATGGCCTTTGCAGTGTGACCCGAACAGTACTGAGGCTCAGGATGCGTTCCAAAGGAACTCCTAATGCTTGAGAAAACCTCAAAATTTCTGTATCGAAGCTATCCGTTATTTTTAACCATATTTTGCTCACCCAGAGCGGAAGCTGCCTCTGGTGACAGAGCGTCGAGACCATACCTTCCTTTATTCAGAATGAGTATTAAATTACGTATTATTCACAGTGCATATTGTGCGGGCTGGCACGATAGCTTAATTTAAGCAAAAATCCGAACCCTTTATTACAGATGAGTGAGCTTTCTTTGAGTGCAGTGGACTTGAAAGTCGTAATTAGTTTTCCGTTTTTCATTGCTTCATTTCCACAATTGGTTGTGTGCAGCTTTATATAGTGCACAACCACTAACCCACCGCTACGAACAACCACGCACTGATGATGTCACCTCGATTGGGGATGAAACGTTTGCAACCAAATTGCCCAGCTCAGCGAACAAGCCAACGACCATCTACGCTACCTGAGCTACCGACATTCTCCTCTATAGAAAACATTTGGACCTTTTAGGTATCGAGTTTGGAACTTTCCCCAATACTTTCAACCCTCAAGCGTTATTCAGCTGCTTGCTTTTAGTAACCTTTGACTGGACAAGGAGTGATTCAACCAAATAAATCGAAATACCTTGTGGACGAAATTTTCTTAAACACCCAACAAACAAGTGCAGCAACCCATAGGGATGACACGCGACCTTATCAGGACAGTGAGTCAACTGAAAACGGTAAGCCAGTTTGGCGGAGTGTGAGAAGAACAGCAACCTTTTGGAGGTATTGAAAGCCCGACTTGTATATGGATTGCATACGAACGGCTGGGGCAGAGAACTGAGTGAGGATGGCTTGAGGGACGCGTATTGCACCTCAACCTTGAGTATATCCATTCTGCTTCCACTCATACCCTCTTACAGCATTCCGTCCAGAAAAGGTCACCAGGGAAAATGGAGTTTTCTCTTGCGGAGTCGTCAGTGGTTGTTAGTTTTCATTGTGAAAATTAATAAATATGCATTTATTGGATTTTTATACCTCTCTTGTGTACGATTCTTGAACGCCTTCCTGGCTACATGGGCGCTCGTAAATGGCAAAAACAATTCTCCCACAGTCTTTTGAAAATTGGAGATATTCTCTATCCAAGTCAATTTTTACGAAAGCCCTTGGGCATTCTGTGATTGACGTCTAAAAAGAAACTGTCGATTGCTTATGCCTCATGAGTCACAGCATAATGTGGTTGGATAAGTACGGAAAATCCACTTGGAGCAGTGAATTCAAAACATCGAATGATCAAAATATCGTTTTAAGAAAATGTTTCATCTTTTCGTGTTATTCAAACTTCTTGAGGACATCCGTTCTCATTGTTGATTTTGCTATCCAAATCCGCCGGAAACGAACCGTTCCAATTTAAGATACAATACTGTGTGGTCGACGGTGTTTTCTGTCAGATCTTCTGCACGTGCTGTATATTTTTATCCAGAAGACGTCGTTCACGATACAATGATTATCAGCTAAAACGTCTTGGCCTTTTCCACAAATACGAGTAGCTATTGAGATCCCTCCGCTATCCTTCTTTTTGATGTATTAGGACACATCAAGAGCGTTGGACTTTGATTGCTGAAGCATATCTGATTTAGAAAAAACAGCTGGTTAGAACGCATACAACGTTCCAACTCTTATCATCTGTCGTTCCTCCGTTTGTAGTGTGTTATGCGTTTTGTCGTCAACTACGAGATGAGTATCGTCTTGTTTGTCTTATGATGATCATTAGCATTACGATTGCAGCGAGCAAAATGTTTATTCTCTTCTGATTTGTAGAATCAATTCATCATTCTTCGCTGTACCAAACCGATTCATCTATCTGATGAGGTTTATAATTGCTATGGACCACATTATCTACACGACACTTCCAATAGCAGTCGCCGAGCACAACTACAAAAGCAGTATTTCTTCAACTGCAGCTGTCAGCACTGTGCCAATCCGAGGTGTGCGCATGTTCTCAAACCCACGACTGCGGTGCAGAAACAATGGGATGCAGCGCTTTCTCGGGTGAGTTACACCTGGACTGCAGATTGAAGGATGTAGAGGCCCTCGTCAGCCTCAAAGGAGTCATAACAGCAAGACCTAATTTAGGGCAAAAGACCGTATGATGCTGGTGAACCTGAACCACTCTGTTTTTTTATGCGTACTTCTATAGTGCAATTTATGTGCCAGAAGCTATTAGTATTGGATATACTAATAATTGAAAGCTGCATGCAGTACAGGTCAGCCTCGCAAACGTGTCTTCCCAGGCAGTTGTGTAAAAGTTTGATTTTCATCTCCTACGAATATCAGCTGTTGGCCGATGAACAAAACATTTTGCAGATCTACGGTTCATCTGTTATCTGAAGCAGAAGCATCTTTTTTTCCTGATCCATCTGTGAATGCTATAGAAGTGTTACTGCACATTGTTGTTGTTATGACAGCAACCCAAACGCACCCCGTTTTTTCGGTCAAACCCCATTATTTAATGAAAATCTGACCCAAAACCCTTTTTGTCAATAGAACACAAACATATGGACTAACCCAGGTTTGACTCTAATTTCATTTGTTTTGGTGTTGCCTTTATGGACAAGAACAAGGGAGAAAAACGTCACAGTTGTTTTTTGCTGCTCAGAAGGGATACGTCGGTTTCACCGGTGTACTTTATGCAAATTCTAGTCACTGGATGGTCAAAGTGCATCCATGCAAAATTCAGGACCGGCAACATGAAACTTCCGAAACGCTGGCCTTTTTAATTGTCGAATTTAGTAAACACGAACTATTTCTCGGGCTTTTCCATGGAAAGAAACGCGGTGTTGTAACGTCAACGCTAAGTTGATCAAATGCGAACTCCAAAATTTGGTAGTCCAGTTTGTAATTAGGTATTGCTTATGCGACCGTTAATTTGAGAGTGCCCAGGAAGCTGTTTGGGCACACTGTTATATCAGGCTAACCTGTCTTCCACCCTTTCTTTGCAGATGATGCGTGTCACCGAGACGAATTCGCCTACCTTACCTGAACTGCAAAACACTTGGAGCCAAGCTTGTCAGATCGGCACGCTTTCTTGCCCCTTTTGTGATGGACATTGGTGGCCGCAAGGAGAGTCTCCTGGTAGCCTCTGGGATACTGCAGGACAACGCTGTATCACAGCAGCATTGACCACTTTAGATCCGCATATCTCTAACCGACTGAAACTTCTTGGTGTCCAGTGTTTTGCAAAATCGGTTGATTGGGTTAGTAAGCACTTTGGTGATCATAGTTCGGAGTACTTATGGGAGCTGTTGAATTTTTTCCGCACGGCTGTGGAGGTACTGGACCAATGGCCATCGGGAATTCTCGAAACTCATGCACTGTCGATTCCGACTTCACTGGAAGGCGTGCGCAAAACTATTTTCTCTTTAGCTTGCTTGCTTTATGGACAAAGGAACGCTAAAGAGATTGAGGGCCGATTTCTTTGAACTATTTTTTATGGCATCAGAGTTTTGTGAATTGCTTTTGAATAGCTGTATCATTCGATCTGCATAGTAATCTTTAAGGTGTAAACAACTCAGTCTTGCACTTTCGAGTTAATGGAATATGTATATGCATTGAGTCGCTTCCCTGTTTTCTTTAATTATAATCTGCTCCTCCAATTAAATAATTGCATTTTGTGTTCTAGATTTGTGACCATGAGATTCCTGTGCCAGTATCTGAGTCTTGGTATGCATTTGAGACGTCCCAGCTAACTGATCTCGTCGAGCTTTGCGCACAGGAGCTGCAATGTTTTTCAAGTACCTCTTTTACGTTGACTGGTACGTTGGTTTCATTGCACTCCGCTGATCGGCTGTTACCCTTAGGACCGGTGTACGGAATCATGGGACACATCAACCACTGTCATTTTCAGAACATATTCCAAACCATTTTGGCTTCCATTTGCGTAGACTGTCATCATTATTTGTCATTTTATTGAAGGTGCAGCCAAGCAAGTTGTTTGAAGCTCTACTAAACTGACTACTTTGATGACGAACCTTGAAGGACATAGACGTAGAAATTCCGTCTGAAACTACAGGTGACATCGAGTTGCCAGGCTGTTACCTTCAGCTTTCAAGGCACTTACGCAGTCTTTGCCTGCGTTATAAACGAAAAGAAGTTTTAACATCATCATTTACTCGGCATACACAACTACTCTGGACCACAACCACATTTGACGATATTCTAGAACAGGAATGTACAAAACTTGTTTGACATGCGCTATCCATGATTCGCATGTTAAAATGCAACGGGTGTTCTTCATGAATACAATTACTTGGATATACCTGGGAAAAATAGGCAGGCAAATTTTTGGTACCTTCAGAAGGATATTTTAATCGTTCAAGAAATGATCCACAGTCAGAGTTGATTCGAGTTGATTCGGAATGGTCTTCTGAAATAGGTGATCATATAGAGCGAAGTTCTGAGCGCTCGATTCTTGCGATTCATGGTTGCTCCATTACACTTCAGTGGATAAACATTGAATTCGAAAGTTTGGAATGAGTAAGAAATGAAGTCACTCTATTGGGAAGAGAACTGCCTATCGTCCCCCTAACTTTGGAAGACTATGCGAGTCGATTCGTGAGATTCGCATCGTGAGGTAACGATACTCAGTAGTCCGTAAAATTCCGATTGTGAGATAATGTTCTGCGCGTTGAATTCATTGTTAGCTTATTTAGACGCCATCGGCTTTACGGTACGCTGAAATGTATACATATTTTCTGTGGGTGTGCACGAGCAATGTACGCAAAAGTGGATGAGGTTGATTGACGTGTATTAGGACGCGCCCATAAGCGATTCTATCGGAATTCTGACATTGGCGGCCTACAAAATTTAGGCATAACATGATATAATATGTATAAATTGGAAGTGAGAGCAACAAATGAACGAATTTCAGCCTGGCAAGCAAATCAGAACCTTTCCATTGGAAATAACTACGGCTCATTTAGGTCACATCCGTGGACACAAACAAACAGCGTACAGAAAAGCTTGTCTGGTAGCCTGCACCACATACAATATGCATGGGGCCGGCTAGTGTTATAAATTATTCGGAACGACGGTAACAGAAAATCACTGCTGATACTAATGCAAGTTAAAAGCTGTATATTGTCCAGAGCATTCAGGCGGGGCTTGGTTGACACATGGAAACAGCATAGAAGTGGAAATCAACGGTTTCCTATTTAGATGGAGAGCTGCATGGCTAATAAACCGGATTCGGAGGGCATTCTCATGGGATTCCGTATTGTGCCATGCTTCGGCTCAATTCCGTTCAAGCAATGGGTGCCTATCTGCCCGGCGTTTGTTCAGTCCAGTTAGCAGGTTTCCACCTCAAGCGGTGTGTGTGGGAGCTGCTCATGCACTGGACGTTGTAATGTTGCATGGTCAGTGTAACTCTTCTTGATGCTGTCGCGCAGTGAACATCAGATTCATTGTACTACGACCAACACGGAATCTACGTTGTTCTTCGAGGTTGTGTACACCGATCAGTTCACCCGTCAGACGCCGTTTCATTAGAAGCCTAATTGTGTAGCTCAGCACACTGGTTATTCTGTGGTCAGGTGAGGTCTGGTTTCTTTTCCCTTTGTAGAGCCCATATGCACCTGCCGCATCACTTTGGTGATTGGAGGAAGGTTCACGGACAGTTTCCTCTTTCGAAGCAGTCTACCACTGCAGTTCAGTCGACGCTTATCTGCTGGTTCAGTATTGTATTGTTTGCGTCAGATATTCAATATTTCTGCTGATGAAGTCTGTCTCAGTCTCTTGTCAGCATCCTGGAGATTATAAGCTGGTTAGGTGCTATTCCCACGGCAAAGTTCTCCATACTGCTGCCGAGCACCGAATTAGGCGATTTATTCACTTCGTTTTCTTCAGCATCCATGCTCGGTTCTGTCGAGTTGTCGAGTCAGGTAGTTTCAAACATCCTTTATTGGTTGTTTCTTGACTTTGCTGTTCGGATGTGTTCGAGACTTGACAAGTGTTTCGTCTTTCGCTCGCCGCTAGCTGTTTTGTATGCTGGTTATTGTCCTCGATCAGTTAGGGAGTTCGGAGCATAGTTACTCGATCTGACCTACTGCCGTCGGTATTATCTGGTGCTTTGAGTTAGGCCGCACTTCTGTCAGCGGGCCGGTGAGGAGGTCAGTGGATGCTGGTACGTCAACCTGATTTTCCAGTCTCTGGGACGGTTTATTTCAATCTGTATGCGCTCACTAATATAGGTGACGTAATGTTGTTTTTAAGCTTACTTTCAAGCTTTGTTCTCAACCAAAAACCGTCACCTTCTCGTGGTGCTCGGGCTTTAGCACCACAATGCTACTGCAGCCTACACTGGCTGAAAATTCGCTCCTCCTACCACAGAGGGGTTAATAGAGAGCAGTTGCATAAAGGTAGTGAGTCCTCATGCCACGACGGACTGTGGTGCGAAGCGTTCCGACACTAAAGTGGTGCTGTTTGCTACGATAAGAGAGTGGGATATTGCGAGTTTCCCCACAGGTAATTACAAACTCAATACTCATGAGAGCATTATGCTCCCTTCACCCGAGGGAGAACGGATTAAAAAGTCGCACGCTTTGACTTTACAGGGGTTAGCCGTTGTCGGCGCACAGAAAGATGGAACTGAAATATTTTTGGATGCCAAGAGGCCTATGCGGCCTAACATGCTCCTATAATGCGCAACAGCATTATGAGTCAGACAGTTAGCTTATATTTCCTGCGTTCTCAGACTATCCAAGCTCCCTACTGCCACGAACATCAGACCCCCAATTCGTTGGTCTCCATAAAGGTACCTTAAGAAGATATAACTGCCAGTCAAATTACAGCTTGAACGGTTGAGCCAAACTACCTGGAACAGCCCTAAGGAATCGAGGGCTTGATAGTGACACCAGCTAGCAACATTTAGGAACCAAGAATGTCAGAACTGTCCCTACCAAGGACGAAAGCTACACATCAAGAAGGCATTTGTAACCAAGCGGCTGAAGTGCTATCTCATCAGCACAACTGCTCTTAGGGAAGTTCGGTCGTCTGTTCAGAGGAAATTAGAGCAAGCTGTCTACATATTATTCTGGTTTGGAATGTCACAAGGTAGTCGAAGAAACATGGAGTCATAGTTGCAGTGACCGATCAAATGAATGGAAGTACAGTGGGTGGACTGGTCCGTATGAATGCGAGGATAATGACTATCGAGCTTTGACTGCCAAACAGAAATGGTAGGGCGTAGTCGGTCAGTTCGTAAACGTAAACCTAAAAGGCAAGCGTATACAAACAGCATGTATGACTTTAAGACTCGCCACCACCATCTGGTTCAATGCTTGGAAAACGTCCATTGCTACTTGACTTCATCCAAGAAATGGACATTGACATCCTTCGGATTATATCATTATCAAACAAAGGAATATCAGGAAAGTACCCGTAGAAAAAGTGAAGCACCACAGATCAGCCAGTGGTGCAATCCAAAGTCCGATTGGCCCTGGAAAAGGCTCCTCGCTGTGGAACAAATTTGCTGAGAATGAGTTGCGATATCAGTCCACAGTACAGAACCTACTAAAGGCTGTCGTTTACAGGTTGCCTGGTTCAACGACGTCATGTGCGTTAATAAAACAGATCAGAATCAAGGAATATGTCTTGAAGACCGTGGTTAAAAGTATTGGATGTGTTTGGAAGCGTCATTCTCAAGGTGGCTTCCCGATCCAGTGCCGTCGAGACGGGATCCTCTTGACCTCAAAACGCTCCATAGTGAAAAGAGCCAACGATTAGTGTGCTGCCTTTTGTGGATGCTTTTGCTTTGTTCGCACATTCAAAAGCTCATTTGTGGCAAATAACTGCAGCATCCGCCTCGTAATCATCTCACTTGGGTCTGTGTACAGGTGTCTTTAAACAACCTGCTTTTGTTACGACAACGAACATCCCATATTCGTATTAATGGTAGCGACATAGTATGCAGTGAAGACTTCCGCTACCTTGAAAGCACTGTGTCAACAGACTCGACAATCGATATTGAGCTGCATGCCCACGATGCCCAGTCAAACTACTTTCAGTCGGTTAACTAGACGTGTTTATGACAATTATAATCTGCCAGTGGATAGTAAGACGGCAATATCCCGATCTTTCTCAGTCCTGTATGGTACCAAAACGTAGACATTCTACTGACAGTACCTTAAGATTTTCAACGAGTTTCACTTGCAATGCCTGCTGAAGTTACCACGAATTAGGTTTTAGGATGGAATCCCGAAAATCGGAGTTCTTGAACGAGTCAAGCTAAGCACAGTCGAATACTGTTTGAAGTGCCATCAGTTGAGTTGGATAGGATGTGCAAAACGAGTAACCAATGACCACATTCTGAATACTGTCAGTTGAAGTCTGGAGCCGGAACTCGGGGGTGTTCGAAATTGCTTTTATGTGACAGCATTTTGGTAATTTTAGACATGTGATCACGGCTTTAGATCCCTCAAAGCCCCGGTACTTGATAAAGAAACCTAACGGACTGCTGTCCGCACAAGTCTGAGAGTTTCGGGTACAGTGCTTCTCATTGCAAACGCCCCATTTTGAGTGTCTATTCACTGATCATCTCCCTTCAGGTTTATTTCGACTTTCGTGCCTAAGAATCCATAGGAAACTACACA